CCACTGAAGAAGAATCTTCGATACGCCCCAAGGTATTCTGGATTCACATGAAGCAACAACCAACAATCAAGTTTCACCACTACCACAGGTGAAATTAGAATTACATAATGAAATTGCCAGATTCAACCTCCAGCACCTTCTTTTAAAAAGAGCAGGGAGTAGATCAGTGGAGAAACTCATTCCCTGGCTAATAATTGAAGCCAAAAATATACTACTTTGTCATTCTAATATCCTATCATAAATAATAACTGGGGATGTGGGAAATCATTGTCTAGTACATTATCAGGGCAATAAGTAGGGGAAGGAAGACAGTTTAGGCAAGTTGAACAAATGATCTGATCTGGAGTAATTTTCTAAGAATAAAGAGGAAGGGAAAAAAATCAGGCAAAATTAATAATTCCTGTCTCTGATTGCTTTATCCATTTCTTAATGATCTGCCAGGAGAAATAATCAGCATAAGAAAACAGTTTTTTCTTGTTTGCACAGGTGTGTATTGCATTTTCAAGCAAACAGGTTAGAATTGGACTGCTGGAACTAATCATCTAGATTTGAAAACCTCAGAGCCTTCTTCCGGTATAGAAGAAACTTGCAGCCTGTGGAACTCATCCTTATAACTAGCAAGCACTATGAAACCTTTGGCTTGGGCAAAGTCTGAATAGTGAAAGCCAAATGCTCTGCCCTTGCTATTCAATTAAGTGGTAACCTCAGCTTTTGCTCTGCAAGAAACATTATAAACCTTCCTTGATTCCCCTGCTCACAGCAAGGGGAAAAAAGGACTGACAAATTCACATTCTAGACTCCACTGTATTTCTAGGGCATGTTTCAATGTGTAACTTAGTTGGGCTAAAAAAGAACTGAACTTTAAGAGCTGAGACATATCAATGGCTACTTTCTTAGTTTATAGCCTAGCAGAGATTTGAATACACAGTACTGCAGATCCAAATAAAACCCTTTCCTTTTAATCTCCCTGCACTATAAACAAATGAAGTGTTTATTACTTAAGAGCTATTCAGTCAAAATCCTTTGTTTTTATGTCTGTGAATCACAAATACAGACATTGCATGCTGTATCTGTAGAAATGTGTAGAAATGCAACACAAATATTGCATGCTGCATGTGTAGAAATGCTCTAGTTGAAATTCAACTCCTTTCTGAACTATTTTTAAGCCATCTGTAAAATGGAAATATTTATAACAAACAAATGTAGGTCATTCACAAAATAAGTTTCTCCCAAAATTTCATATTGAAAAATCATATAAATTTAACAACCAATATGAGTGAGCTAGTCCTCTCTAGGCTATCTAGAAAATATTTCTTTGTTGTTGTTGTTGTTAGTTGCGAAGTTGTGCCTGACCCATCGTGACCCCTTGGACAATGTTCCTCCAGGCCTTCCTGTCCTCTACCATCTTCTGGAGTCCATTTAAGCTCACTCCTACTGCTTCAGTGACTCCATCCAGCCACCTCATTCTCTGTCGTCCCCTTCTTCTATTGCCCTCAATCTTTCCCAGCATTAGGCTCTTCTCCAATGAGTCCTTCCTTCTCATTAGGTGGCCAAAGTACTTGAATTTCAACTTCAGGATCTGGCTTTCTAAAGAGCAGTCAGGGTTGATCTCCTCTAGGATTGACCGGTTTGATTGCCTTGCAGTCCAGGGGACTCGCAGGAGTCTTCTCCAGCACTTTAATTACTGGCCTAGTGGCTGGGATACATCCATGTTGTATTTGTATTTGTATTTAATTTTATTTATATGCCGCCCAATCCCAAAGGACTCAGGGCAGCGTACAGAGTTAAAACAATCATAAAACAATAAAATAATACAGTCATACCGCGAGTCCGATCATATCCCGGCCCCCCCTGGGGACATCAGCCCCAGGCCTGCCGGAACAGGAGAGTTTTAACGGCTTTCTTAAAGGCCGGCAGGGTGGGAGTAGTTCGAACCTCGGAGGGAAGTTGATTCCACCAGGTCGGAGCCACCACAGAAAAGGCCCTTCCCCGAGGGCCCGCCAGCCGACATTGTCTGGCCGACGGGACCTGAAGGAGGCCCAATCTATGGGACCTCACCGGTCTCTGGGAACTGTGCGGCAGAATACGGTCCTGTAAGTAACCTGGCCCTATGCCATGAAGGGCTTTAAAGGTGATAACCAACACCTTGAATTGCGTCCAGAGACCCACAGGAAGCCAGTGCAGCTCGCGGAGGATAGGTGGCACGTGGGCGTACCTTGGCGCGCCCACAATCGCTCTCGCGGCTGCGTTCTGAACTAACTACAGCCTCCGAACGCCCTTCAAGGGTAGCCCCATGTAGAGCGCGTTACAGTAATCCAGTCTTGAGGTGACAAGGGCATGAGTGACTGTGAGTAAAGCCTCCCAGTCCAAATAAGGCCACAACTGGTGCACTAGGCGAACCTGTGCAAAGGTCCCCCTGGCCACAGCCGATAGATGTTGTTCCAAATTTAGCTGTGAGTCCAGGAGGACACCCAAGTTGCGTGCCTGCACTGAGGGAGGTAAATTTGCCCCCCCCAGGACTAATGATGGACCATCCAGTTGGCCTTTGGGAGGCAAGACCCAGAGCCACTCGGTCTTGTCAGGGTTGAGTCTAAGCCTGTTCATCCCATCCAGACCCTCACATCTCCCAGGCACCGGCACATCACGTCGACTGCTTCACTGAAAGGACACGGGGTGGAGATAATTAGTTTCATCCAAGGATCACAAGAGTTGGGACGCCAGCACCTTCTCTACAACCTTCCCCACAAAGGGGAGGTTGGAGACGGGACGAAAGTTCTTCAAAACAGCTGGGTCCAGGGAAGGCTTCTTGAGGAGGGGCCTCACCACCGCTTCCTTTAAAGGTTGCGGGAAAGACCCCTCCATCAAGGAGGCATTGATTATCGCCTGGAGCCAGCCTCGTGTCACCTCCCTACTGGCAGAAACCAGCCAGGAGGGGCACGGGTCCAATAAACAGGTGGCGGCATTCATTGCCCTCATGGCCTTGTCCACTTCATCAGGGGTCACAGGCTCAAACTCGCTCCAGATAACATGACTAAGACCAGCCCCTGGCAACTCGGCTGGCACTGCCCAGTCAGAGTCCAGGTCTCTCTGAATCTGAGCGATTTTGTCTGAAAGAAACTGAACAAACTCCTCAGCTCTCCCCTGCAAGGGTTCCTCCTCCTCCTCCACTTTAAGAAGGGAGCGGGTCACCCTAAACAAGGCGGCCGGGCGAGATTCTACGGACGCAATAAGTGCGGAAAAGTGATCACGCTTTGCCGCCCTTATCGCCACTAAATAAGTCCTAAGATAGGCTCTTAATAGTGATCGGTCAGATTCAGAGTTACTGGCCCTCCAACGTTGCTCTAGATGTCTCTTGTGGCGCTTCATCTCCTGGAGCTCCTCAGTAAACCAAGGCGCCCTCCGGGGACCACCACCACAGAGAGGTCGCAAAGGCGCAATTCGATCCAGGGACCCGGACGCCGCCTCATTCCAGGCCGCAACCAGGGACCCGGACGAGTTGTGGACAAGGGAGTCAGGTATTTCCCCAAGCTCCTCCTGGAACCGATCTGGGTCCATTAGGCGCCTGGGGCGGAACCACCTAGTCGGCTCCCTCTCCCTGCGATGGGGGAGTGATGCTCTGAAGTCCAGCCTCAATAGGAAATGATCTGTCCATGACAAGGGCGAGATCTCTATTCCCCTTAATTCCAGATCATGTCTCCATTGCCCCGAGAGAAACACAAGGTCGAGTGTGTGACCACCCCTATGAGTTGGATCCTGAATTACCTGGGTCAGGTCCATGGTTGCCATGGAAGTCATGAACTCCTGCACCGCCTCTGAGCGATCGCCGAGTGATGGTAGGTTAAAGTCCCCCAGTACTATGAGTCTGGGGAACTCCACCGCCAACCCGGCTACTGACTCCAGCAACGCAGGCAGGGCTGTTGCAACGCAGCTGGGAGGTAGGTACGTCAGCAGCAAGCCCAACTGAACCCGTGAACCCAACTTCAATAGGAGGGACTCACACCCAACAACCTCTGGGGCAGGAATCCCACGAGGACTCAAGGACTTCCGAGCGATGACTGCCACTCCCCCACCCCTGCCCTGATGTCAAGGCTGATGAAGCACCACAAACCTGTCCGGGCACATCTCCGAGAGGGAAACACCCCCCTCAGGGCCCAGCCAGGTTTCGGTTATACATGCCAGGTCCGCCCCGCTGTCCAATATTAAATCACGGACAAGGGGGGCTTTGCTGACAACGGACCTGGCATTAAGCAACAGCAGCCTACAATTAGGGCCCTGTACTCCCCTGTCACCAGTACTACAGGATGAGCCTTTTGAGGGGCCGGAACAAGGAATCGCTCTAACATAGCGAGTCCTCGTTCACCAAAGATGGCCTGCCCCTCGGCTCCCGCCATATCTGCCCATCCCAGTCATGACCGGGATGCTCCGACCTTCTCCCCTCCCCGGAGTACCCCCACCCTCACCAGCCTTCTCCCTTCCTGACCGGACTCGCTTTCCATACAAACCAAGCCCAAGGGTAAGTCCTGCCCCCCCTACTTTTGCTATTGCACTCAGCAGAGGGGGTACCAGGCTCCGCCCCTGACTCCACCATTCTCATACCCCAAACACTCAATACACATTCACACTCAATTTATATACATAAAAAATAAAAATATTCACATTCATACGCCCTAAATACAATAATAAAATTTGTACATAAATTTTGTTGGAGGAATATTTATAAAACTTACCAAAATCGCTGTCACACTACCACATTTCTGAAGTAAAATACAAACCACACCATCAGCATGAAAGGGCATGAAAGGTAAAACCCATATTCCTCTTGTGGCTTCCTAGGTCAGCCTATCCTAACCTGATGCCCTTTGATGTATTAGACTAGAAGTACCATTATTACCAGCCAACAGGAAATCCTTAATTCAGCAGAAATCTGCAAACTTAACAGACTTACTAGCTCTCAAGCTTTTGACTACAGACAAATAAAAAATAGTTCATGTTGTACTTACACCACTGGAAAGGTTCTCAGCATAATTTACATGGGGAGAGGAAGGTCAGAAAGCCTCTTGGAGGTCTTCAGTATTTGTTATCATTCTGAAACAAATAAGAAGGCAGTGGTTTAATTTTTACATAATTTCTTCGAAGTTATTTTTCATATTATTGCACACATCAAAATAAATACCTCACAAACAAGCAATCATTATTTCATTTTCTACCAAAACTCCTATAAAGCCAGAATTTGTCTTAAAATAGACAGGACTCTGATGGGTAGAAGGGTCTTTTTGAAATATTTTACAGTGCCTCACAACGTAAATGCATCTGGACATGATGGGTTGCAAAGCTGTAATTACTGAATAAAACACAAAAGTAAAATACTAGTTGCTCAGAAAGATGTATAGGTTTAGAATGACAAATCAACATAAGCTGACATCATGACTTGAGGTGCACAAAACTATGTCATTTTAAATTTGTTTTGCATCACTTAGAGAAACCAGACATATCTCACTTCAAAACTGTTAATGCTTTATTTGATTCTGTGCTATTTTGGGTACCCACAGGTACTGATCTCTGAAAGATCCAGAGAAATCTACAACAGTGATTAAACAGGGCAGAAATAAGATATCACAAGCAAAGAATGGGAAGATTGGGCATATCAAGTCTAGAGGGGGAAAAATAATGATAGTACATTTTAACAATTCTCCAATATTTGCAGAAAAATGGCAAAAAGGACTGTTTTTCTGATCACCTAAGAAGTTAATAAGAAACATGAACAAGATTTCTAATAAACATTCTGCAAAGATATCTAAATTTCTAGGGACATTGAACCGACACAACAGCTTTCTACCTTGACTTTGACTAGACCGGAATAATTTTTTTCAAGGGACTACTACAAGAGCTCATGGCTAGAATTTTTTTTTTATTTCTAGAGCAACATTATGAATCTCACATATGCCAATAACTTTAACATGATTGTGATCAATAGTTTGTTTTGCTTTAAAAAAGAAGACTTCACAAACATCAGAAAAAGTCCCCCAGCTTGATCAAGCCATAGAATCCACAAACATTTCTGCTAGATCTAGCCCAAAGGCCATCTAGTCCAGTGTTGATGGGCATTCCATTCAGTCATGTCCAATTCTTAGCAATTCTATGGGCAAGTCTTTCCACATTTCCTGTTCTTGCATTGCTTCTTTGAGTTTTTATTTGGCAGCTTGGTTTCCTATTACTGCTAACTCTTCTCAATATAAGTGTTTTCTCCAGTGAATTCCCCTGCATAACATGGCCAAAATAAGTGAAATGCAGTTTTGTGATTTTTTCCTTCCAGTGATATGTTTGGTGTTTGGCGCTCCAGTACTTGCTTGTTGGTCATCTAGTCTAGTATTCTGTGCCAACTAGTGCCCTCAAGATACATTTGGAAGGTCAAAGACCCAGATTAGAAGGTATGCATTTCTATAGAAAGAAAAATTGTTGGTACTAATAACACACATCCTTGATATCCTGCCTATTTAGGAAATAGGAAGATGTGCATCCATTATATTGGCCAGTTTCAATAGTCACATTTGTAAGGGCTGTTTCCTACATTATCTGCCATATTTGCCATGTAAATTCCCTTGTGTAGTAGCTGAGCTGCAAACATTCTAATAAGTGAAGGAGAAGTTGCAAACTCAGGTTTAAAAACAGTGCAGCACCTTTAAATGTGAAAATCAAATCTCAGTTGGAGAAAATATATAAGAATGCAGACAGGGCCCTCTTCCCTGCCAACAGCCCAAAGACAGAAAACAGAGTCCACACACCCATAGTGACTTCCAAACTTAATGTGAACTGAAGAGTCAATTGTTCACTATATCATTTGATTTCCAAAGAATCCAGTAGCTGAATACAGGCTGTATGATTTTTGGATATCCCTCCCTATAATGGCATTTCAAAACCATAAGGCCTCAACCTTTTCAGTCTGACAAACAGAATTTAAGTTTGTCTTCTTAGCATTAACCAGGCAGAACAGCAAGTATTATTAATCTGTATGACTAATGCAGAGGTTAAACCTGACAAACCTTTGTCCTGTCTGAATTATTCATTAATGAAATTAACTTGTTAAAGTGGGGGGGGGGGAAAGAGGAGGAAAAGGAGAAACAGAGACTGAAAGAGGAAGTCAGCCTCTTTCACAAATAGTATGCAAAGAGTGGAGAAGAAAAGAGGGAGGAATTCCGTATTCATATGAAAATCGTGGCAGCAACTATAGGGTAGAATGAACAATCTCAGCTTAAAAGCTGCTCTAAAAGACAGCTCAAATTTACAATGGATGAGCCTTCATGGCAATCTGTTTTTCCGATATTAAAAATCTCATTTTCTCAATGCCAAGGACAAGTGGAAGCGTGAGGCACTGGAGTATCAACTCGGCATTTGTCTCATTTGACATTAAATCATTCTCATTTTCAACTTGCATTTTCTAATATCTCCTTGGGAGCCACTTCAGTTTTTTGTTCATTTCTCTCTGACTGCAATTAAGATATTTGAGTACAGCATCTCCACCTTTGTCTCCACCTCACATACTTCCTCTCAGAATACCTTTTTGCTTTAACCAGTTTCTGATCAGTTAGAAGACCAACAAGTGCAGTCTTCCCATTAAGATTCACTGGCCAGAAAAATTAATTCACCTTAAACCAGAGTGGAGGAATGTAGTACGTATGGAAGAATCAGCTCATATTCATTAAGATTCAAAAGACAGTTTCATGATGAAGACACCAAAAGGGATTTCTTATTCTAAAGAAGTTACAGTACTCTCATTTTTGTCATAGCTAGACTGTGGCCCTGAAATCAGATATCAGATAGTAATACCTACCCTCCAGCTCAGGATCCCAAATTTCAAATGATAAGCTTTTGGGGAATGACGGTGTGTCCTCTAAAATTTTGCAATAACATTATGTACTTGAAATGTTATTGTATAACAATACAATGTATAAATAGACACAACATTCTCCTACCAAAGATTTCACACAGCAGGCATCCTACTTTTCTTTGCTACTTTTTAGTGCCACTTTAATGAGTATGTGAATTAGTTCAAAGACAGATACCACAAATGCCCACATTTATTAAGAACACAGTATGCAGGAGGTTTTAAAAAAAGAAAAGAATACAAGTTTCTAGTCCTTAATTTACACAGAAGAATTTGACAATGACTGAAAAAGACCAAACTGCATTTCCAGAGCAGAAGGAAGGAATCAACAGGATCCAGAGCATCTGGTGCAGAATTATGTTTTAAAAAAGAAAAGCAAATAGTTTATATTTCATCTATTAGCAACAGTCACAATTTTAAATGTATATTTTTATAGGCAAATATTTTGGTTTATAACTACCAAAAGGTCTAAAGACAAAGATGAAATCCAAATATAAGCATGCTAGTTCTACTTGCAAACTGCTATCCATTGCCTCCAGCAAACAAGATTGTTCTTATTTATTAATCAAGGGGTCTGCAGCGTGTGATTGAAAAGTCAAGAGAATGGACAGGACAGAGGGATCAAAGCACATAAAAATGGGTGAAGCTTCAATGGCACCAATGGGCTGCCAACTTGACTTTTTTTGACCACATCTAGTGAGCACCATAAAACAAACTGGAAAAAGACAAAACTTATTTTGCTGTCTGGTAAGCATGAGAGCTGGGAAAATACTGCCATAGATCTTGTCAGGTATCACTTTTTGCTGTTTGTGTGTTTGTGTGTAGGAGTGGGCTTCTTAATTAAGTTTGTGTTGGCTTGGGTTTTTAAAAATTAATGGAATATTTAACTGCACAGTGTAGTTTTCCTTCTGTGAAATATATCAAATTCATATTTTGGCACAAAGGAGTCCATATCCAACCGCTACATTCTTGCGTAGGTTGCTTGTCTTTGTGACTACAGCAGAACTTACCTACTACTAGGAGAACACCTAGATATTCCATACATTTAATTTCCCAAATTTTCTGCATCAGCTTTCCTATCCATATGACAACACTGACTGCACCATAACAAGACTACAACCTTGGTAGATATAGGATGACAAATGCTACCTTATGTCACCTTAGACTAGTGGACCATAGAGTTGAAGTACCATTACTTTTTCAGCTTAGCTTCCTATGGTCTTTTATAACTAAATATTCTGGGAGTGTACTTAAGAGCTTCACCAGACAAAGCATGTGCTCTGGAATTGAATTGTGGCCCCTCCCAGGGCAAGAACTATCTTCTAAAGCAGTACAGCAAAAGCTTCTCAGCCAAGGAAAAACAATCCCTTAAGTGGCTATTGATGCTTGCTCTGCCAGGCAGCAGGAAATCTAAGATACTAATAGGACCTCTAAATGGCTACACTAAGTGCTGGAAGGTACTGATCCCCTTTGGCTTCCTCCTTCAGGTTCTCTGCTCAGTTTTGGACTTTGGTTTAGAAGATACATACAAGACTTTTCCCTCCTCCATGCACTGGCACATTTTCAAGAGAGGTAACAAAATATTGGAAATCTATGGAGATTCTCAATCATCCAGGTCATAGTTATCCCAAAGATGCTTTTTCACGAGGCAACTGGACTTTCTTATTTTTCTTTGAAGACATTTTGCTTCTCATTCAAGAAGCTTCTTCAGCTCTAACTGGATTTATATTCCTTGCAGACAGCAGTTCATTTGCATTATTTTAGCAAACCATTAGGGCTACCTGGAGGCTTATATGTCTTCAGGGTCACCTGAGTAGTGCAAATGGGTGTGGAACCGTCTTGGAAGTGTGAAAGGACTGTTTTGTAGACTGGAGATAGATGATGTCAGATCCCTATTGAAAGCTTCATTGTAGCATGAGGTTCCAGTTCTTCTAATTGATTAATACCTGTTAAGAACTGTTTGCCCCCCAACTGAGCCAAATGTTAACTGGTACCATCTCAAAACCCAAATATTGTTAACGAATAAGACCCATCAGGCAATTAACAGTCATCAATGATCACTGAAGTATTTTGGTATGCTAGTGAAAGAAATGGACTGTTTAAATCTTGACTCTATGGATTTTTTAGGAAATTATTGACCAGTTTCTCTCCTTTTCTAGGCAGCTGCCTTTACAATGACATGTAGTAATCAACATGTATTAACAATTAATCAATGGAACGCTTGCCT